ATCTCCCGACTTCTTCACTCTTCCCGAAACTAGCGATGTTATTTTGAAGTTTGAGATGCTAGGTCAAAGGCGAAGTAATCCGTTTAACTTGGGACCGGTCTGATCCGCATGCGTTCCGTGGAATTTTGTGGACAAGAGCGTACGATCTCATTTTAACGTAAAATAGCATACTTTTTCATAACACTGTCGCCATCAGAAAGACGGCTTTTCCCAGGATGTTGATGGAGTTGCTAGGGGTATAGAGAAAATGCCGACCGCGCGAGACAGTGAAAATGTTGCATAAGAATGCCCTCTGATAATATCGCCACTTCCATCTTCATACGGTATAAGATGTTAAGTAATACATCCAGATGGTAAGTAAAAAATATCAAATACTGTCCCTTGTACCTTAAGATAACGTTTGACACTCCCAAAACGAGTGAAAACCCATATTTCGAACGAAATGAACGATCCAGGTACATAGTAGGTGAGCGAAATGTGGATGAGCTCTCACTGGTCTCTGGCACACTTCGAATGCAAAATATTTTCGAACTCATAGATGTGACAAAGTTTAATATTTGCTGGGTACATGCATAAGTAGTTTACACTCCAAAAGGCTCTTGCCGCTAAAGGTTTTCAATGACACATGTAGTTTAAACTAGAAAGAGCTGTAGGCAGAAAAGATGTTTCCGTAAACTTGCTTACTCTCATACGTAAACGTAAAATAATGCTCCATGGACCAGTATAAAGCAACAGAAATATAGCAGCACGCGTACCTGGGCCTTTAACTAGTGCTTGAATATGGAGCATGGTCGGATTGGTCCGCATAAATTGGGTAAATTCTAATGTTCTCACGCTTTTAAAGTCTATTTTCCAGGTTTTCCAAGTGTTCCAGATGCAGCCAAAGCGTTGCAAATATGTGACTACTTCCGCCGCAACTAACAAAGAAAAACGGTATTTGTGCTAAAAAGTAGCCTGCACCACTCTCTCAGAATAAACAGTTTCCATGACATTTTCTAGACATGGCTTCCATGGCACTCCTAAAATATAAAATCGGAGACGCTCCATTAAGACCAAGGCGATTGTCATTAAAATGTCCGCCTCATGTCATTACATTGGATAGCAGAGAAAAGGCGAGTAACCAAAGCTCGATCAGGAAAAAAGGCCTGAGAGAATTTACAGCAGTTTGGAAGAATGGCACCCCAGTTGGTGAGGGAAGAAGTCAAAAGCATCACAACAGAATTTGCCGCTAAATTTGTCCTGCTCAAGTTTTTTTCTAACCCATAAATCACTGCTAGGGGGAATTAAACGAAATTTCAAATGTAAGAGTGTTTTTGTTACCAGTTTGATTGTTTGCTCTAATCGAAATGAATCCATTGAATGCGAACTCTGACAGACCTGACAGGCGCGGAGGCGCTTACGGATTCGTAGATCTCACGCTTTTGTGTGCGTGATTTTGTGCCTCGTGCGGTTTGCATTCACACGGTTAGTGAAAAGAACTGACAGTGACGACGGCCTTCTACCGTGATACAGGGCATTTACTGATGAATGAATCTCATATTGAGATTGTTTGGACAGACAGTCGTGCGGCTGTGTAAACAGCTTGTTAACCAAAGCAAAGGCAATGTCTCTCTTTCTAAATTCTAGCAAGTCAGGTGTGATATGTCATGACAAAATGTAACGTCTTGTTTTTAAAAGCAAAAATTGCCCTTGGTGTTTGAATGACTTGCTAAAGTGTTTTGTTAACGCCTCTCAAAACTTGCGACAAAACGTGAAAAAAATATTTGAGGACACTAGTGGAACGAGTTAACACTTGTATCCAGGAGGTAAAGCCGACGCCTGCAAAGGGGTCTGTGTCTATTATGAAAGCAGTAGTTGAGAGAAACAGATATCCTGTTGTCACATTCACCTTGGCATAGGACAGAAAACTAAATAGGGTTGGAACATGTCATGAAAATAAGTCATTTATTAAATAGTAAGCTCCTTAGTGTGCCAAAACAGCAGATACAGACAGCCGTTTTACGGTCATTACCTGTCAAAGCCGACGGGCTAATGAAATAAAAGGAAAGCGTGTGCTCCACGGTGCGCGAAACCATGGCTTTCCAAATCAAAGGACGCCTTATTTACAGTAGGTGGGCTAACTTATGAAATGTCAACCGAAATTTCGAAATACGTTCTCGTCTCGAAAAGATTAATAAAGTAGGGTTGTAAAACTAGTCAATCTGTAACACAATTCTATAATATTTCCGTTATCTCATTTTTTTTGCTTATTCGGTAATAAAATGTGTCTTATTACAACTTTATTCTCGAAAAAAGGGTACGATTCGGTTTTCAAAATTTTTTCCAATTCCCTTATTATTTTGAACACTCTTTGCCGCTGCACCTGGATTCAGGGTTTCCAAACTGCAGGCCGTATATTTTCCGCGTACGGAAAACTACACATTTCTCTAAGGTAGTAAAGGGGACCATATAGGGTTCATGAAATTTGGCATTGGATTTGATCCATATTGTTAACTTTACAACCCACATTGGTAGATGCAGAGACATGACGATTTATGAACGGCCATTTCATGGTTGTTAAAAGTCACACAATTAGAAACTTTCTTAAAACCGAATTATGTCCCTCCTTCAAGTATAAAATTAAAAGAAGACGTAATTGTCTACCGAATGAGCAAAAAGAATGAACATTTTCATGTATATTTTCCATGAAATTTAAGAGAACATTTGGGGATTTTGAAAATCAATGAGAAAAATTCATGCTACTTAGGTAGCCATTTTTTACATAAAGTAGTTTTTGCATGCAGGCAGAAGGAAGTTCGTTCAAAAGCCGGCATCCTGATGTAACTGCAATATTATGGAATTATTTTTCATGCTGACTAGTTTTACAGCCCTACTTAATTAAGCCTTTCGAAACAAGAACGCATTTCGGAATTTTGGTTGACATTTCATAAGGTAGCCCACCTACTGTACTTGGCGCCGTGAGCGTTTTGGAACAGTCCAGTCTCAAGAGTCCCAATCGTGGAGGGCGTTCTAGAACATTCCGGTCTATGGCGTGTCCGTCGCGGGTTGACCGTTGCGTGCGCGGGAATCCCCTCTCGGAAAAACCTCGAATGGTCGACCGGCCATTGATTGGGCTGCTAGTGGGAGCAAAGGCACCACACATGCCCGATGCTGCAGTACCCGCTAGTCGATTGTCTAATATCAATTGTGTATCTCACTGCCGGTGGTGTAGGGGTGACCAGTTGTTGGTCTAAGTGGCGGTCGTAGTGGACCGCTCACTTGCTAGCGGGTGCTGACTACGCCTAGCGTTCACTTCTGGTACCCATCTGTCACATGTGGCTCCTCGAAGCTAGGTTCTGCATTGCGGCCACACCCCGGTAACCGCCTCGATCGACGGGCTAAACCAGGTGAGGACACTTGTGTGCGTATTTCCAAACACGGTGACTTTGCTCCCCTTCCTTCCCTTCACCTACGCTCTTCTCCACCATCTCTAATCCACTCTCTTTCCCTACAGTCGGAAATTCCTACAGTGAGGACGACATGTGATTAAGTAGGCGGCCGAGGCTAGTGGGTCGTTCTCTCTAAACCTAATGGCCCATAGTGGAGAACGACAACCAGCTAGGACGACTGAGCAGCCCTATTTAGGGAGAGTACTGCTTACTTCCGCGAGGGAGAGTTGACCATATAAGGTGACCTGAACAGTGTTGGGTCCACGATATCTGCGCACAGACCGTGACTCGCAGATTACAATGCCTGTAATCGCAACTGTCAAAGCAGAAACAATACTCTCGCTCTTCCACTTCCTTACCTTACCACCCGCCTCGTCCCACTTGCTGTCGTGGTGAGTCCGCTCACTCTGGGGGGCTGGAATGTGCAATCCCTTTTAGATAACCGCAGGAGCAACCGACCAAAGTGGACGACGGTGCTAGTCGCTGGTGAACTGGCTCAAAATGCGGTAGATATATCTGCACGCAGATGGATCTGGTTCTCAGATCAAGGCCAACTGTACGAGGTAGTTGTCGGCTAGATCTTCTTCTGGAGCGGTCGCCCCAGGGCGGAGCGACAGGATGCGGGCGTCCACTTTGCAATCCGGAACGACATCGTGAAATGACTGCTCTGTCTGCCTCAGGGCATCAATAACCGACTGATAAGCCTGCGCCTATCTCTTCGGGGGCCCCAATTCGTCACCATCATCAGCACCTACGCCCCAAAAATGACCAGACGAGGCAAAGGCAAAGTTCTACGAAGACCTACACGCACTCCTGGAGTCTGTGCTGAGGGTGGATAAGTCGATTGCCCTTGGTTACTCCAATATTTGCGTCGGGACAGACTGCATTGCTAGGGGGAGTGTAAGGTACTCATCGGATTGGCGACTTCAACGACTCCCCCGCGCACCTACGCTAAACGCCGCTTCCTGCTAGCCAACACCATTTGCTTACTGATGCGGAAGAATGCCACCTGGATGCACCCACGATCGCATTGCTGGCACCTGCTGGACTGTGCTTTCGCCCATCGGCGCGATCAGCAGGATGTGCTGCTGACTAAAGCAATCTGCGACGCCAATGGCCGGACGGACAACCCCCTCGTCATTTCCGAGATAAGGCTCCAGTTGCAACCCCACAGGAGTCCACAAGGTAAGGAACCACCATGTAAGTTGATTACTATCTTGCTGTCAATGCCTGCTCACCGTTTACATTTCATAAATCGACTGGCCCAGCGCCTGGAAGACTTGTCAGCCGCGGATGAAAACGCCTCCGTGGAGACTCGATGGTACCACCTGCTGGACACCGTCCATGCGACCGTCCTGGTTGTCCTCGGCCGCGCACTTCGTCAAGGACAGGATTGGTTCGACGAAAACGACGCTCGATAAGCAATTTACTCGCTGAAAATAACAAGCCTCATAGAGCCTACCTCGACTGCCCAACCGATGCAGACAATGCGGCCTTGTGAAGCAACGGTTGCGAGGAATACAGGATGCCTGTACGGCTCACGAGATCCAGTGGTATGCCGGCCGCGATTAAATGAAGGACATCTTCGTTGTGAGAAGAACCGCGCTGCTTCTCATCTCCGATGGATCAGTGCTTCTGACGGAGAGGTCGCAGGTTCTGAAGCACTGGGTCGAGCTCTTCAGGTGCGTCTTCAACCGTCACTCTACAATCTCCGACGGCGACATCTACCGGCTCCCCCAAGTGGAAATCAGCATTGACCTGAATCTCCCGCACTCTCTCCCAGAAGCCATCCGAACCGTGCAGCAGCTGTCCAGCGAGAAAACGTCTGACTCCCATGGGATTCCAGCTGAAATCTACAAACACGGTAGCCACTGTCTAGTGGATCACCTCACAGCGTTCCTCCAGCAGATGCGGCGCTGCGGACAGGTCTCTCAGGACTTTATGGACTCGACAGTAACTCACCTCTACAAGCGAAGAGGAGATCGGCAACTATGGGACAATCGCAGAGGTATCTCGCTGTTGAAAATCGACGGGAAAGTCTTCCCTCGCATCCTCCTCAACTGCTCCAACGGTCATCTGGAACAAAGGCCTCTTCCGGAGAGTCCGTGTGCATTCCGGCGACAGCGCCCAACCACCGTCACGAGCTTCGCCGCCGGCCAGCAGCAAAAGAAGTGCCAGGAGATGAGGACTCACCTCTGTACCACATTCGTAAACCTCAGACTAGCCTTCGACCAAGTGGATCGCTAGGGACTGTAAGAAATTATGCAGAAGTTCGCCTCCCCTGGGCGATTCACGCACAAGGTATGTCAACTTCAAGACGGAATGATGGCGTACATTAGTGACAACGGCGAAATCTCCGAGGCATTCGCAGTGAACAATAGAGTGAACCAGGGGTGCGTACTGACGCCCACACCCTTTAGTTCCATGATTTCTGCCATGCTCTTGGACGCCTAAGGTAATGAGCGCTCCGGAGTCCGCATCACCTACAGTACCGACAGGCACCTTCCCAGCAGCCGGCGAATGCAGGCCCTGACGCGCCTTTCCACAACTACTATCTACCATCTGCTCTTCGCTTGCGGCTGCGCCAACTTCGAACTGACCATCAGTATGGGCAAAACGGCAGTCATACGTCAACAGCCACCAAACGCTGAATACGGTGTCCCTCGCACACACATTAACGGCACTGAACTGCTGACCGTAGACAACTTCACTTACTTAGGCAGCATAATGTCACGCTGCATCAGATTCGACGACTTAGTGGCCCACCTGATCACAAAAGTCAGGCGAGCTTTAAGCCGGGTGAAGAAATCTGTGTGGAATCGCCACGGCCTCCAAATGAACAGTCGTCATTCAGATGAAACTGCTCAACGGAGTGGAGACGCGGACTGTCTACGCCAGCCACGCCAGGAAGCTCAACCACTTCCATCTTAGCTGCCTCCGCAGAATACTGAAGCTGAGATGGCAAGACAGGATCTCGGACACGGACATGCTCGAACGCACTGGAATCCTCAGCATTCATGTCATGTTAAGGTAGCTGTAACTACGCCGAAGCGGCTATCTTATGAGGATGGAAACAACTATTCTAAGGAGATGTTACTGCGGGTACTCGTCGATAGGGCTGACAAAAACAGCGTTAAAAGGACACTCTGAAGAATCCCTTGATACGACTGCAATCAATCCAGAGGCCTGGGAGGATTTCGTTTAAAAGTGACGGGTCTGAAGAAGAGAGGTGAAGAATGGCGCAACCATCTTCGAAGCAAACTGGATCACCGCGCCAAAGCCAAAAGACGGGCACGCAATTCGTAAGTGCCTTGGCTCCTCAATGCCAGGAGCCAGTCGCTTTCAGCACGCCGCGCTGCCAACGCCCATTCTGCGCGCGAATAGGCCTCACAGGACTCTTTCAAAAGCAATGTACCATCGACCTGTCAACGTCAGCTTCTCACCCCCCTGGACACCCCTAATATCACCACTGTAACAGACCCTGCAACGACGACCACGTCCGTCGCCGGTGATCAAACTGCCGATGCCATGGAGAAATGTGTGATTTTCCATACAAGGAAAGCATACACCGTGCACTTTTGAAGGCTTAGGCATAAGTACAACTACGGTCGGGTTAATCTGACTCAGGAATCGAAAATGGTTTTGAAGTCGGAAGACGCCCTTTTTGTAAAGTACATAATTTGAAGACGTAATATGCCAACAATGAATACATGAAAGAGCCATTTGTGCCTGTTCTCTCTCTATATTTGCACTTCTGAAGGCACCTAAAATAAGGAAGAAAATTTCACACTATTTAACAGTCATTTTATACCGATTGTTGGTTCTGCAGACAGGTTGAAAGAATCTAGCTCAAAATTGGGCATTCTGACCTGACTGAAATGTTTTGCGACAATTTTGCATGATAATTAATATCAGAACCTCATCTGAGTAATGCTTGCTAAATGAAGACAATCATTTTATGAGGCAGACCAGCAAACGGGGCTGTGTGAGGGCTCTTTTCTACCGTGTAAAACCGCACTGTAGCGAGCCCGAAGGAAGGATGCAAGAACTACGGCATCTTCGGGACCAAGTTACAAAGAACGGCTACCCAAATAGTTTTATCAGTCGCTGCATACGCACGCACCCACGACGGACAAACGGAGGACAGACACCAACAATTTGGCACTCCCTACCGTACATAAAGAATGCATCCGAGGCTGCAGAACGCATTGCGTCAGAGCCAGGCATAGGCATCGCTCATCATCCGGCGGCTACCATGCGTAGCAGGGTCATGAAAATGAAGGATCGGCTGGACGCATGTGAGCAGTCGGGCGTAGTCTATCACATCCCGTGCCATAACTCTCCTTACCACTGCACAAGCAAAACAGGACGTCTCAGCTCAAGAATACTTGAACACAAACGGACCGTTCGGAGAGGTGACCCACTATCTCAAGTCGCCACTCACACGCTGGAGGAAGGCCATGAGTTCGACTTCGCCAACACGCGGATATTGGCGCGAGCCGGTAACAAGACGGGGCGAGAACTGTTGGAGGCGTGGGTGTCGGACGCCAACTCTATTAACAGACACATCGATTTGCCTGCGTGTTATCACGCGCTCCGCCCACGCAGCCGGGTGGCGCAGCTCACATCGTAGCAAAGTACAAACGGCGTCACCACAGCGGGGGACCCCCGTGGACCAGGCGGCACAAACCTTACCTAGCCACGGACGTAGTCCCCCCCCCAGCGATATAAATGTTCACACGTTGCTGCACTCAAGCAGTATCTGATGCTGAACTCCAGTTCGAGTTCGAAAGCTCAGACAAGTAAATCTACTGTCCCAGTAATCGTGCCTTTGGCTTCTTTTAGACCAGCAATTGCTATCCACTGAATTGCTATTTACATTTTATGGTGATAACCTTAGGAGACCGGAGGGAACTTTAGGCGACTGTCCTGGGGTAAGTGCGATTTTTCCTCGTTAAAACAAGCACATCAGTTCTTCCGCCTGCTCTGTCAGCAGCCGACTGTGTGCGGCAAGGACCTCTGCACTTTCAAGAGGACATTGGCCAGAGTTGAAAGCGTAGGGCATGAGCCTGACTGTTGAACCCCGCGTGTCCTCTCGGTCTACATGCATGCAGTGGGACCCAATTAGTGGATGATGATTTTTCTTTGAAATGTTTGGACAGGATGCCCCGTGTGAGGTAGGGCAGTTCGTACTGACAATTTGATAGTCGAAATAGACGGCGTTCGCCGCTGCCCAACAGGGTGAGCCAAGTAACGGCGACTTGGTCATGAAGTCTGTGGCCGATACCATTAGATGTTAACCGAGATTCGGAAATTAGTTTTTAATTAAGAAGGATTACTCAAGGAGCTAGTAATCTTTATTATTATGCAGTATAATTCTAAAATGGTTCAGTCCTACCAGGATGTCGGCTTTTAAATCCAACTCTTTTCGAAGACTGCAAAAACCGCATTTGTTAAAGAGTGAATACCTATGTTGTATGCATTTAAAACAATTTTCGACGCCCTTATAAATTCAAATATATTTTATCCTCAGCTGATCTGGTAACAAATAACGTATTCAAACTTATACTCGAAGAGAGAATGGCTTTCAGTTTCTGATTATGAGAGTTTTCAGAAACGTGCGATGTCCATTCAAGTAGTTTCGCATCTTTACGTTCGTTAATGCTCTTCTTGAGGCGGACAACACAGTCCACATAAAGTAGAAAATTTTATGAATCCTATATGACACCTCCGTAATGACTTGGAGGTATAAATGCTTCTCCATACACAGAAAGTATACAGAATATAGTCTGAAATCCCCAAACATAAATGCAACCGCAAATCGGGATCAGAATTATTTGGGGTAGGCAAACTTTCCAAAAACCTTTATATATTTTTTCTTGGAGTATAATATTTGAAGAGCACGTGCTTCGGCACAAAATAAGTGCAGCGTAAAATATTTTCGCACATCTTTCCTATAAAATACACTCATTAATAAGAACATCGAAATCCATTGGGAAAAAGTCTTGCTAATTGAGTGATTTTGTTCTAACTAGTATGGGTTTTCAGGCCCCTGAAAAGAATAAAATTTAAGAGCTAGAATTCTGGCACGTGTAAAATAATGTTGCATTTTGCTGCAGGATAATCAGTATTACAACCCCACTAAAGAAATCCTTTATGATCAAAAGCGCATTTCAGAATTTCCGTTTATATTTCATGAGATCGGTCACCGTTTACTAGGGCAGATCTGTGTAACAGCTACCGCCCACTTCAATCCTTCCTGACACCATTTTTCGTCATCAGGACAGGGTTAAGACGTCTGGCGTGGACGTTATGGCCTACTAGGCTAAACCGCTTGTAAATGAGGGCCACACAAAACCCTGTCGAGCAGCATGTTCAAATCTTTCATCTAGGGGCTGCCACTCGGATCTCATGAAGTCCAAATAGGAGAGAGTTATTGTAGTCTGCCTCTCGATCTCGGAAATAACCGGGTTAGCCTGTGCTATGAGTTCCAGCACATTGCGATAGGTTAAGGACGTTAAACCAATTATGGTGGGAAGAGCGCTGATTTGCTCCTAAAATGGATTCCCCAGTATCGGCCTTACTTTCATCTCCATCTTCCGTGCATCGGATGCTTTCTTCGAGAAAAAATGGTTTAGAATGAATGCAGACACAAGTTAAGTAGAATGGGCATGCACCGACATACGAATTTTCGTCCTTCCTACTGACGGCGGCAAAATAGACTCTGTGCTTGGTACAGGAATAAGTTGTGGTGCGTTACGATGAGCCGAAATGCATACGCGTGCTGTGAGGTAAGTTCTTGCGTAGCTTAGGGATGTGATTATGCAGGTAGAGAGAGTTGTTATGATGGGGCCTGAACCGTACTGTTGTACACAAGATTTTTCCTGGAGGCGCATGTTGTCGAACGGCCCCTTTTAACGCTGGAAATGGCGATAAGGATGGCGGTAGAGAAGTCCTCTGATGTGGGCAATGGGTTTGTCGCAGGTTTACTGCAGGTAATTCCTCTTCCGCATATGCGCACATGGCCAAAAATGCCTGTGCTTTGTCTGCCTGGCCAAAACGGAGGCCTGGAGAACTTACGGCCTGCCCTTATCGGGCTAAACTAAGCTAACTGAAGACAAAAATAAATACCGTACATTCGTGTGGAATGCCTTCACGACACTTAGGCCATCGTGCGCAAACACGTCAGGAGCTGGCTGACAGAACCGTAGGGTCGACTGACCTACTGGAGAGGGAATGAACAATAA